TCTTCATATAAGCCCTTCAATTTAATTCAGCAAGAGGTCGTAGATTTACAACCTTCATGCGTTAGCCACCGGGAATACCACAAGTTGCTGGATGAACACCTGAACTTGGGATCACCATGCAGCATGAGCACCCACTATAATAGGGGGGCCACAGGGTATTCCTGGATCACAACGGAGGAACCAAGGAAGTCTCCTAAGCCAAGGGAGTGGCTGGAAATTCCTCTCAATCCTCTTGCCAAAAGTCACATGTCATTGGCACCGTGGCCCGGGAGAGGGCATACTGTGTGGCATATCCTTCTCATTGTTGAAATGGAATGTCCCTTTCCCCAAAGAATAAAAATATCGTAACTACTTACGATATGATGGGACATGAAACATGACATGTTTTACACAAAATGAAGTCTACACATTATGATGTATGTCATAGTTCTGCGTGTTTTGCAGGAGTAAAGATTGACAAGGTTACTGATGTCACAGATGTTATCTGATGTATTCTCCTGGCTCAGAGAGAGAGTGGAAGTGATGGGTGGCCAACTCCACAAACTGCTGTGTCCCCATCTGCTGTGAGGTGTGATGCTAGTAATTTGTTAGTAGTCATAAAGTACTCAAGGGCATAAAAGGTTAGTGCTTATTTATAACTTACAGTAGATGCACGGTTATTCCCATAATAATGTCTTCCTCTCTCCCTTGCATTCCCTTAAGCTTTCCCAACAAGACAGGAAGAGTAGAATTACCCTGGCATACTTACAGTTGCACAGAATCCGCAGTGCATCATAACTATGCCGCTACTACTACTTTGACCAGGAGAAGGCTGGGGACAGAGCCCCAAGATGCTACGGTATAGGTTTCACCCCAGTCTGGGTGATGGAGAGACCTTTACAATCATGCATATAATCCCTTCTCAGGCCTTGACTCAATGCAACTATCAGTTCAATAATATCTCACCTTCATATTGTCTCACGAGAGTCTTTACAATCACTTTGCTATAATAAACGTTTAATTACTTTTCATGAAAAGAAAACGTGATCAATCTGAAATGATTTTTCTCCTAGTGAACACATAGTGGCTTCCAAGTGTTAACCACCAAGTTATTTCCTACAGGTTCACACACCTGTTTAAATCTCATTTCACAATTTTTCTAGGACTTAGAGTCAATTTTTAAAAGCTGGTGAAATCCAGGAAGTATTACGAGCTATCTCCTAATTTAGATCTCCTTGAGGTGAGGCTGACCTTTCTCTCCATCACCCCACCTACCATTAAGGCTTAGCCACGAGGCTGGAACTAGGAATAAGGAAGAGGGTGGGTCTGATGCAGAGAGGGGTTCCTCAAACTTTAGCGTGCGTGCACATCATCAGAGATCATGTGGTTCTAATTCAGCAGGTCTGGGGTGGGGCCTGAGATTCTGCATTTCTAACAAGCTCCCAGGTGATACTGATGCTGCAACTTTAAGTAGCATGAATGTAGATATGAGAGATAACCTAAATTCTACCCTTTCTTGGGGGGCGGGAGGGGGGCAGTATGTATGGACGTGTCAGGTAGGCAGGAAGGGGAAGTTTAAAAAAGAAAAAAAAGCTTGTCTTTCTGGTCTCCATCTCTTTTTGTTGGTGGTGGGATGGGTATTACAGAAAGTCAGACCTGGAGTAGGTCAGAGTTGAGTTCAGCCCCTGATTCCAGTATCTACTGACTGTGTGACCTCAAGCAAGTACCCTAACCTCTCTGAGCCTTCGTTTCCTTATGTGAAAACGAGAATAGCAACATTTAGATCTTGATATCATTTAGACAAATGACTATGACCTTTAAAAAATTTTTTTAATTATTTATTTATTTTTGGCTGCGTTGGATCTTCGTTGCTGCACCCAGGCTTTCTCTTGTTGCGGCAAGCGGGGGCTACTCTGTTGCAGTGTGTGGGCTTCTCGCTGCGGTGGCTTCTTTTGTTGTGGGGCATGGGCTCTAAGCACGCGAGCTCAGTAGTTGTGGCTCACAGGCTGTAGAGCACAGGCTCAGTAGTTGTGGTGCACGGGCTTAGTTGCTCTGCCGCATGTGGGATCTTCCCGGACCGGGGATCAAACCCACATCCCGTGCACTGGCAGGTGGACTCTTAACCACTGAACCACGTTTCAATGAAACGTACTTGGTATCTTAAAAAAACTCAAGCAAGAAGAAAATTACAAAGAAGCTCCAAAATTCTCCCACTCTCAGAGTGATTCGAGGATTAAATGAAACAATGCGTAAAGTAGCAGCTAAGAGCCTGGCACAGAACGAGGCCTCGGTAGGTGTCAGAGGTTGAGCCAGGTGGTCTCTGAGCACCTGGTCTCCTCCTGCACCCACTAATTCCCAGGCAGCCGCCACAGAGGAGGACTTCCCAACTGGAAGAGAACCTATAGGTAGGGGGCCAAGGGTACTTCCGTGATAGAAATACCACCCCTTCTTTACTTCCCCACCATGAGAGCATCTAAAAGACGTGATGTCTTAGAGGGAAGTGATAAGTGAAATAAGACAGAGAAAGACAAATACTATATGATATCACTTATGTGTGGAATCTAAAAAAACACAACCGGGCTTCCCTGGTGGCGCAGTGGTTGAGAGTCTGCCTGCCGCCGACACGGGAGGATGCGGGTTCGTGCCCCGGTCCGGGAGGATCCCACGTGCCGCGGAGCGGCTGCGCCCGTGAGCCATGGCCGCTGAGCCTGCGCGTCCGGAGCCTGTGCTCCGCAACGGGAGAGGCCACAACAGTGAGAGGCCCACGTACCGCAAAAAAATCAATCAATCAATAAATAATAAAAAACCACAACCAACTAGTGAATATAACAAAAAAGAAGCAGATTCACAGATAAGAGAGGACACACTAGTGGTTACCAGTGTGGAGAGGGAAGGGGGGAGGGGCAATATAAGGGTGGGGGAGTAAGAGATACAAACTATTAGGTATAAAATAAGCTACAAGGATATATTGTACAACCCAGGGAATATAGCCAATACTTTATCATAACTAAAAATGGAGTATAAACTTAAAAAGTTGTGACTCATTATATTGTACACCTGTAACTTATATAATATCATACATCAGCTATACCTCAATTAAAGTTCTAAGACCACTTTTTAATTTATTTATTTTATTGAAATATAGTTGATTTACAACGTTTCAGGTGTAGAGCAAAGTGATTCAGTTATACATACATATATATAATATATATTCTTTTTCAGATTCCTTACCATTACAGGTTATTACAAGATATTGAATATAGTTCCCTGTACTATATAGTAGGTCCTTGTTGTTCATCTGTTTGATATATAGTAGTGTGTGTCTGTTAATCCTAAATTCCCAATTTATCCCTCCCCCACTTAAAACCCCTTTTTAGATTACAGGAGAAAGAGTGCTTCTTCCAGCCAGCTTAGCTAGTGACCTTCACCAAGCCTCATTTCTCCTCCTTAGTCTCATTTTCCCAGTCCCCACAAGAGTCCCTTTCACACAATGCTTTGCAATTGAAAGAGATGTGTTTTTTTAGCAATTCTCTTGTGTTAAACCTTCACAACAGCGCTTGAGAGTACAGGTCATCACTATCCTCACAGGGATAGTATTCTCATAGGGGTCCCTGAGGGCTGACACTGCTCCCAGCACAGAAAGCAGAGGAAGCCACCAAGCCTACCTGCTTTGCCTGCAGCGCTGAGTGTGCCCTGCCCCAGCCAGCGGTCCCCCGCTCACTTTTTGCTCTGCAGCCCTGGGCTATGTCATCTGTCAGAGTCAAGTGGGATGGAAAGGCAGCTGTTGCTCAGCTCCTTGTATGGAAATAACCAGTTACTGGACAGATAAATGCAAATAGAAGGTGCCTGCAAGGTGGATGAGTCCTCCAAGAGCACAACCAGAGAGAACTGGACCAGCAGTGCTGGCTTCCTGGGCTGCTTAAAAACTCTCATCCTGCAAAGTGGTCTCCCCTCAAAAATCAAGGGGGAGGGCACACGTCTTAAAGACCATCACATCCCTCAAGTACCCAGAGAACTTTACAATATCTAAAATTCCGTCTTTCTTCCTTGTTCCTTCCCCTCTTTCTTCTTTTACAAGTATTTATTGGGCATCATTTGCAACAATGTGGATAGACCTAGAGGGTATTATGCTTAGTGAAGTAAGTCAGAGAGAGAAAGACAAATACTGTTTGTTATCATTTATATGTGGAATCTAAAAAACAAAATAGATGGATGAGTATAACAATACAGAAACAGATTCACAGATATAGGGAACAAGCTAGTGGTTACCAGTGGGGAGAGGGAAAGTAGGAGGGGCGGGATAGGGGTATGGGATTAAGAGGTACACACTACTATGTATAAAATAAATAAGCTATAAAGAAATAAGCCAAAAGGGTACAACACAGGGAAATATAGATTATTTTGTAATAACTTTAAATGGAGTATAATCTATAAAAATATTGAATCAATATGTTGTACACCTGAAACTAATATAACATAACAAGTCAAATATACTTCAATGTTTTTAATTTTTTGTTTTTATTTATATTCTTTTTAAACTATACTTCAATTTAAAAAAGTAAATTAAAATTTTTTAACTTTATTAAAAATATTTATTGAGCTTCTATTATGTGCTGTGCATTGAGCTAGGTGACAGAGGGCCTTAAAGATAAAGAAGATACAAACTTTGCCTTCAAGTAGCCTCAAGGCTGGGCTGGGGCATAAACACATATAAGCAAGGTGAGGCATGCCATCCAGGAGTGCTGGGAACCTGCTGCAGGGTTCAAGGTGAGGGAGGGAGGAATCTGGTAAGGTGATCACCAAGGACTGGGGGACGC